GAATTGACCATTCACTTCAACTTTCCCTACAGACGATCCTACATATATTGCATCAAATACAGCAACTACATTAAGCTAACTCGACACATCAATAAACCATTCGAACAAACCAACGACCTTAACCTTTCCAACTCAAGAATCTTCACCAACGTCTTTAATTACATCAACCATATCAATCACGTCAACTGAATCAACTAAACCAAATGTATTTTCGACCGTCACTTCTTCAGCTTCATCACATGCACTCGCGCACATGCACATACGAGGCGAGTTTTTCTTACGCCCTTGAAGCCCACCGGTTTGAGTTGATGCCTTATCGCAACTTTGTATCCACTTCACAGATCCGCGTTTCGGGCGGCAAGAAGAACAAAAAAAGTGTAGAGCACACGTCAAACGGCTCAGTTACTGCTCGGCTTGGTCCGGCACTGCCCTGCTCCTTTCACTGCACCCGAGAGCATTTGAGCTGAGGATGTAACGAATAAAGTCTGAGACAGTCCGAGACGTCTCAAATTGCCGGTGAGCTTCGCCGATCTTGGCGGGCGGTAGATGCGTTGGACAGTCTTGACAAGTTGCTAAATTGCTTTCGCCATCTTCACGCGAGACGAAAGCGTTCTTTTATACTCGTTGACCGGCAGCCAAAGCATCCTGCGCTAAACAACTTTGGGCCCAGGAAGGATGATGCTAACACCAACCGGGAGTCCGAGTCCGGCGCTTTTTCATCTCATGAGTGCTGAAGCCTCTTCTTCTTCTCCTCTCCTTAACTCTCATCTTGTACTTCTCCCTTTGCCTCTTCACATTCTCCCTCTTTCCTCCTCCAGCATCTTCAGCCTCTTCATCTTATTTCCCCCTTTCTGTTTTCTTGCTTCTTCGTTTTCTTTGTTTTTCTTCTCTTCTACTTCTTCCATTATTTCAACTTTCCCTTTTTCCTCTCCTCCTTTTTCTTCCTATTCTTTCTCTTATATTTTCCTATTTGCTCTTCTTCTTGCTTGCCTTCATTCCTCCTGCCTCTTTTTCATTTTATATTCTTCTTAGTCGAAATAAGACAATCAGCTTAGCGCAACAAATCGTCAAGTTCGAACATAATACCGGATACCATCGAAGATCAGGATGTAAAAGCGAAATTCATGTATCTGAGTAGTTGGGGCAAGGAGTAACGTCAGACGATGATATTCGTGGTTAAATGACCCAGAAACAGCACCTGCGACTGTACTCCTGACATAGAATTAGCATTGATGATGTCTAGTGAGCGTCAAAAGTGGAATCAATTTGCGTTTGGGAGTGAGGGTAGAGATTTTTTTGTGGGTTTCAATAGCCCGCTTCATCACTTTAAAACAAATAGAAAACAAATAAACACAACCTCATCTATCCGATTCACTGGTAGTCTCGAAAAAAGTGACGTCGTCGGTTCCTATAGCAAGCATAAGTTTGCTTCATCGACAAGCCCAACAGAGACTGAGATATGGGAAATGCCAGACATTGCTTGAAATTCACATCTGCCCTGTGACCCGACGGTACTCGTGGGTGAAGTGTCGAGCTTGTATGTTGCATTGTCATGGTTCGACTCCCGCTTGGGGTGTTAATACGACCGAAGCGAGATCGAAACTGCAGTCCACTCTGACTGGGATGAGAAAACCGTTTGCGAAAGCAAGGCCATGCAATTGGATGGAAACGTCAGCTCTACTCATATTACTTTGCGGGAAAAATCAGCTACCATGAATACGCATGTATGTATGTGAGCATGTATGTATGCAGGCAAGTGTGTTTGTACAGAATGCTCGAATTCGACCATGTTTTTTGTACGTATGTATGCGTGAGTGACGTGTACCATCCGTGAGTGCACTGTACCCTTCCAGATCGGACTTCACATTGACCCTGTCAGGCCTCAAAAGTATTAACTGAGCGAAATTCTAGACCAAAATCTCGGCAATCTTACTTTTTAGATCATCGCAATCATTTGTAGCATAGTCATGTCATTTGGATCTCGGAGGGTTCAGGTGAAGCACAACTTGACTCAAACTACAACATTAACAGCACTTTAGACACACAATGCATGCTAAAGAAGCGGCAGAAGCCTTCGACTCTGTTTGCAAATCCAACAAGAATCTTCTCAGTAATCAGCTTCTTCTTCTGCATCTGTCACACTTGCGCTTATTTGGCGTTAGTTGTTTACGTTTTCTTATGAATAAGAGACGTAGTCACGCTTGGCCGCATAAGGTGATGATGATGATTAAATATCCCACAATCGCATGATTAAGCACCATCATGGCCTCCTTGGTGGGTTGTTTGTTGGTTCGGAACGCCGGTTCAGGACAGCAAACGAGATCTGAACAGGGCTCGGGCTATGGTTCGGTCCACCCCACGAAAATGCGTTCCAGCAAAACCAATCGACAAAGGGTCGAGAGGAACCAACCGTCGTCTTCTGATGGGATTGGTCTTCGAATCTTTTCACCAAACAGTCTCATTAGAAATGGAAGCTGAAAATGTGTATATACAAATTCTTTTCTTAGTTCCTTTCTACTAGTTTTCTTCTCTTGCTTCTCCTGCTCTTCTTAATTACTTGTGCCTGTTCTTCTTCCTTTATTGCTCTTGTAATTCACTTTTTCTCTTCACTTTCTACTTTTTCTTCTTATATCTGCAGACAGACAGACTCACATGCTATATAGGTATAGTATGCTGGTCTATATGAGGGGATAAGTAGAAACGCAAGAATAATATTCAGGTAAATGGGTTTAAACTATCGACAGATGTTGAATAAGGGCTGTGGTAACTCTGGATAGCATTCAGTTGAATTTTGGTAAATTGAAGAAAACCGGTTCCTCGTTTTCATTGAATTTCACTGAGCAGTCCAGTCCAGTCCAGTCCTATTTAGTCGAGACAATCCGAGCAGTGAAATGATTAGAGAAGAGAAATTAGAGATAATGAAAGATGAGTGATGAGAGATGAAAAATGATGAATATTGAGAGAGGATAGATGAGAGATGACGAAATTTAAGAGATGATACGAGATGAAAAATGAGAGATGATGATAGGTGAATGATGAGAGATAAGTGAAGAAAATAATTGAAAGATGAGAGATGATGAAAGATGAGTGATGAGAGATGAGATATGAGAGTTGAGAGAAGATGAGAGATGAGGGATGAGAGATTATGAAATAGGAGATATGAGAGATGAGAGATAATGAAAGATAAGAGATGAGAGATAATAAGATATAAGAAATGAGAGATGACAGATGAAGAGAGATGAGAGATGATGAGATGAGAAATTAAGGGAGAGATATAAAATATCAAAGATGAGATATGAGAAATGAGAGATGTGAGATATGAGAGATGAGAAATTAGAAATGATGAGAGATGAGAGATGAGAAATAAAGGATTAAAGATGAGAGATGTTGAGATGATAAATTAAGGGAGAGATATCAAAGATCAAAGATGAAGAGAAATGTTAGATGAGATATGAGAAATGAGAGATGTGAGACATAAGAGATAAAAGATGAGAGATGATGAGAGATGAGAGATGAGAAATGAGAGATGAGAAATAAAGGATGAAAGATGAGAGATGCTGAGATGAGAAATTAAGGAAGAGATATAAGAGATCAAAGATGAAGAGAAATGTTAGATGAGATATGAGAAATAAGAGATATGAGATATAAGAGATATGAGATATAAGAGATGAGAGATGATGAGAGATGATGAGAGATGATGAGAGATGAGAGATGAGAGATGAGGGATGAGAAATAAAGGGAGACTCGCAAGCCTGAATTTTGTTGTGATGTTGTTACCTCGCTCTGATGATGTCCGTCATATGACGGACG